TCGAGGTTCATTTAGCAGCTGTTGTGGGGCTTTAGAGCCCATAATACGCCCGTCATCAGATGAATGAAATGAAATAATTGAACCACGTGGTGATCTGTTTTCACTTATCTTCATTAGCGGGAGTTCAGAGGATGTATATGAGAGATACAACTGGCGAGCAATCAAATATGATCCACCTTTGCATCACTGAAGCGATTATGGTTCATTACTTTCCAGTTAAAATCTGTTTCGGAAACATTTGCATCTTTTTCATTTACCCACTTCACCTGCACTATTTACACAAGTGAAATATGCAGAGAAAACATGGTTATTTAGATTTAATTCTTTCCATCTCATTAGCTCCAGGAATACACGTTTCCTTTCGCCTGTCAGTCAGCATCTATGGTAGCGAAATAAGAATCGCCAAAGATGGCTTTTTATCTTTTCATATCTTGTAGTTATTATGTGTTGCTATGTGTTTCCGTCTCTTCCTCTCTTCGTCTCCTCTGTCATGTCAGATGTGTGATGAAACATGGCAGCAAACTTCAATTTGCACAGAGAAGATTTGTTGGCCTAATCTAATGATTTCCACAGCAACATCAACTTTTATTGTCGCCTGTTTTTCATAAAGCTGAAGTGTCCTGCAGAACGAAATTTCTATTTATTTTCTATCTAATGTTTTTACCGAATCCTTTCTCATTTAGAACATCTCCACAAGAGCCTGTCTGGTAGTTTAGAGGCGGCATTGATCAGCTATTATTGATGGGAAGCATTGATTGGGAAGCGTATTGATCTCACTATTGGTGATTAGGAGATCGTGAATATTTGACAGGGGGATATTGAGCATTTGATTTGAGGACAAAACCTTTGTGGACGGGAAGAGTGGTAAGGGAGACAAGCTGAATTAACAGGAAGAAAAGTAGAAATATGGGACCAGGCAAGAAAAAAAAGAGAATGAAGGAGAGAGGAAGGGCAGCAGAGAAGCAGGTTGTAGCAGGTGTACGGAGGAGGAGGTACAAGTTTCTGATTCTGTTTCAAATATAAAAACACATACGTCGAATGTAATGCCTTGGACTGCATTTCTCAACATAAAATTGCAAAGAAATTGGGGATTTAAAGCTGAGGTAAATATTATTATTGTAAGAAATCTCTGTACTAGGGATGCCACAAACGATTATTTTGATAGTCGACTAGTCACAGAT